CGTCGAAGAATAGACCCAAACAACCGTATGGCATCATAGAACCTCTCCATTTCTTCATAAGAAAGATGCACCAAGTGGCCAACTCGTGTATTATTGTATCGCAGCTGTATCAGTTCCTTTCTGATCGGATCAACTTCTAGGATTGGACGAAAGTGGTGGATAACGTGTTCCTTGCCAATGTACTCAAATGGAAGTTGTGTATTTGTTAAAATCTCGTAGGCTTCTGGATCTTCTTTGTACAGATCCTTTGCTGCCTTGAAACCATCGACGAGTAGGCTTAATCCTCCAGTTCCATCGTGGTGTGTGACGTGCATTGCTTGTAATCCAGCAGGGGTTGCGAAGTAAGCATGACCAGTGTGTCCATTGAGGGCTGGATTGAAGTAAGCAATATCGGCATGGGTTAGACCTGTATTGCCAAGTACATAAAGGCGGCCAAAAACCGTTTGTAGAACAAATCCTCCGATTAATTCACAAAGTTTAAACACAGATTCATCATCGAGAGGCGTACCATCGACGAAAATGAAGCCAAAGCGATAAAGATTCTCCAAGAGACTTGGAAGCACATTTCCAGTTTCGTTTTTTAGCTCATCGAAGTTAAAATTTTGAGGTGGATTTGAAGTGATTTTATCTTTGCCCCATAGTACCATGTCAGTTTCGTTAGCAATGTTGCCTAAACCAGATTTTTCTTTTCTCTGCGAGCCATCGTACGCGTTTGCCTTCAACCATGAACTCTCAAAGCAAGACAAATGGCCGTCGTTCCATTTGATTTGTACTTGGTTGTTGTTTACATTCACTTGCTGTGGGCCCACATCATGGGGAATTAGCGCCATATCTATGGTAGTTTGTTGAGTATCTGGGTTTAAACAAGCAGGACATTGGCAATGGTGACGAAGCCATACGTGATGGAACCGAGAATGGCTGTCTTCCCAGTGCACAGATAGACTTCTTTCGTCGACTAAAGCTTTCAGTGGTGTAGCTTCTACATTTGGTGAGGATCCACAAAATCGAATGAGGGATCTTCCTCTTAAAATACATCGTGGAATTGCCCCAAAAGTCTTGTAAATCGTACGACTTAACATGGTAAAATGACGAGCTATGCGTGATGAACACGTGTGATAACAACAAGTGTTGTTACTTTTATGAATTCATTAAGACATGTCTAGACGCTCCTAGATGACGAGTTCGCATCAATCTCGTACCCAGAGCCGCCGTTCCTCTTGGTCAGCGCCGAGAAACAAGGGCTCTGGCATATTCCATTTTTTTCATCAGAATTTCTGCAGTTCCGGTTTCATTGCGCATGCGTTGACCGAAATCAAAATGGCGGAATATGATATGTTTTATGCCGCTTTTGACCACTGTCTAAAAGCGATTCGAAGAGATAATTTCAGTTTAAAAGTTAAGCAGTTTGAAGTTTTAAAGTCTATAGTAATGGAGAAAAAAGATTATTAGCCGTTCATCCAACAGGATACGGGAAGTCTTTAATTTATCAACTTTTGCCTGAAGTGTTTGACCATTTTGATTCTGTGGATCCACATAAATCTATTGTCATAGTCATTTCGCCCTTAAACACACTTATAAGAGATCAGGTTTCCAAACTTAAAGAGTGCGGAATAAAGGTCTGTGTTCTTCGTGGAGACCGGGTGATGGAAGGTGGGGAAGATGAAAGTAAATCACTTGACAGCTTGGACGAAAATCTCGCTTGCCGCCCTACTCTTAGGCTGCGTTACATCCGGTTTTATTTGCCAAATAAAACCGGATGTAACGCAGGCTACCCTAATCTAAGCCTTCTTTATTGGTGGAAATTTACTTCCGGAGTGATGCGCAAGCGCAATAGCAAATTCCTGGCGGCCAATCAAAATTCGCAAAAAAATGGAATATGCCAGAGCCCTCGTTTCTCGGCGCTGACCAAGAGGAACGACGGCTCTGGGTACGAGATTGGAGTTCGCATGCGCATGCACTTAAAGTAAATTTGAGCTACCATTTTTTGGACTGACCTGTGTATTTTTTTAATATGTCTTTTCTGAACTCCAATTAAATGTCAAAATCGCAAAATAACCATAACTGAGACTAAAATGTACAGACCGTGATGAACACGGATGTTGTTACTTTTATGTTGTTACTTTTATGTATCAGTGGTTTTAGCGCATGCTCATGCTCACGCAGACGCTCCTGGACCTAAAGATTATGCAAATTCAACCCATGTACAACAAAGACACTCTCACTGAGTTGTCGCCAAAACCCATCATGGCTTATTATTGCTCGACCAAATAATTAAAATCAGGGATCTAAGTCAATAACTAAGGACATCTTTCACTGGTCATTGTATAACCATCGTTTTGACTTGTTGTTGACAGAAATGTAACACTATGTACTTTTGTAACGTCGTAGATTGTAACACTATTTCAAGGAACCCTTTCGAAACCCCAGAGTCGGATTCAGGAGAGGAGTAAAAGGGGGAGGTCCCCCCCCTCTTTTCATAAGGTCCCGGTGCTCTAGATTCCTTATTGTGTTTTGATAATAATTTTCCTCTTTCTAATTTCAAGGAGGCACACACGTCACAATATTGGAAATCTCGATCCTGAAAAATTCATGGCTCGAGAAAATATTGATAGTGTTTTTTAAAATATATTTGGATCAGTAAATTCCCTCCCTCTGAAAAATGTCTGGATCGATCCGCCCCTGAACACCGAAACAACGAAAAACCGAAACAATAAAGACAATAGAAGATACCACAGATACCATAGATGCCATATGTAATATAAAATTATTTTTATGTATACAATCGACGAATTTCATTAAGACAAAGTAAGAAATTGTTGATTTTTCGAGCGGCATACTTAGAAGAGATCTTTCATTACTAGTGATAGATGACCTTTGAATGAATATCACGCAATATAAACAGATTGCATGTGAAAATTGTCCCCGACAGTGGCGCAGCGAGAACCTGATTCACTGCAGAAGCAGTACGAAAATTTTGATTTTGTCAGTTTTTATATTGATTAGAGAATCACTTAGTCATTTAATACCATTTAACGGATTCTAATACTTTGATAACATATGTCCATGCTTGCAATCTATTTACAATTGTTTGTTGTATATGTATTTATTATATTGTTTGTTGTATATGTATATAATAATTATCCCTTTTTATGATAGCAAACGTAGAATACCTTAGCTTTTCTATTGGTCTGTTGTTAATTGTTTGTTGTATATGTATATAATAATATCCCTTTTTATGATAGCAAACGTAGAATACCTTAGCTTTTCTATTGGTCTGTTGTTAATAATTTCATAGCTCTCCAACTTCCCATGTAATTATCAATGCACACGTAGCCTCCAACTAGCTTACGAGATCCTGTAATTTCTGATCTACCATGAAGAACACGCCTGTTATCCATAACGATAACTCTACCGGGCGTCAACTTGAACCACAGTTCATTCTCCTCTCGTTGAAGAATAGAGCCAAATGACCGTATGGCACGATAAAACTTCTCCATTCTTTTATAAGGAAGGTGCGCCAAAGAACCGACTCGTGTATTGTTGTATCGCAAATGTAGCAGTTCGTTCGTACCAGGATCAACGTCTAGGATTACATGATAGTTACGCAGAACGTGCCCCTTGCTTATATATTCAAATGGAATACGTGTACTTGTTAAAATCTCGTAGGCTTCTGGGTCTTCTTTGTACAGATCCTTTGCTGCCTTGAAGCCATCGACGAGTAGGCTTAATCCTCCAGTTCCATCGTGGTGTGTGACGTGCATTGCTTGCAATCCGACAGGACATGCGAAGTAAGTTTGGTCAGTGTGAGCATTCAGGGCTGGATTTAAGTATGCAATATCGGCGTGCGTTAAAGTCCTATTGCTAAGGACATAAACGCGGCCAAAAATCGTTTCTTGTACGAAACCACCAATTAATTCACAAACTTCAGAAACACATTCATCATCGAGAGGCGTGTCGTCGACGAAAATAAATCCAAAACGATGAAGATTCTCCAAAAGACTTGGAAGCACTTTTGGATCGTTTTTAAGCTGATCAAAAGTAAAATTACGAGGAGGATTTGAAGTGATTTTGTCTTTGTCCCAAAGTAACATGTTAGATTCATCAGCAATGGAGCCCAAACCAGACTTTCTTTTACGAGTTTGCGAGCCATCGTACGCGTTTGCCTTCAACCATGAACTATCAAAGCAAGACAAATGGCCGTCGTTCCATTTGATTTGTACTTGGTTGTTGTTTACATTCACTTGCTGTGGGCCCACATCAGGTGGAATTAGCGCCATATCTATGGTAGT